TGTAGCTTCAGTGATGAATTTCGGTAAGAGCAGATCTTTACACATAGCATATATATATATATATATATATATATATTTTAGCACTGTACATCGTTCTATTACGGAAATTAATAAAATTATATAAATGCGATTATAAAAGAGTAATTTTCTATACAATTATATTTCACTGTTAAACTACATAATTTTCGTTACAACTCTTACAGTTTCAAAAAGAAAATTACATCGCGAAGATGCGTATAGTGAGTAGAAATAAATGTGCTGTGCTATTAAAAGCATTTTTTTAGAGAGTGCGAAACACACTAGTGTTAGAAATTAAGAGAATTTGCAGACTTGGTTGAGTATCTCTGAAACTATTAGACCGATTTCAATGAAATTTGATATGTGCATACATTGATACAATATAAAACAAATTACCATTCAATAATTGTAATACACACGCATCATCGTGCGTTAACACTCGTTGGAGTCGGATGGCATGGAACCGCGGTAATTTGTTTTATATTGTATCAATGTTTGTACACATCAAATTTCATTAAAATCGGTCTAATAGTTCTAGAGATACTCAACCAAGTCCGCAAATTCTCTTAATTTCTTACACCAGTGTCGATTAGTCTTTACTCCCTGGAGACACTATCCCAACTGGACAGAAACGCGCATAAATTTAGAGACATTAGCTTCCGCTCACACATTTGTTAGTTAAGAACTGTTAAAACCCTATTGGAAAAAATTCCCGGTATAAAAAAATTGTACCGGCTTATGAAACACCGGTTCCGGTATGATACTGGATCTGGTATTATACCGGACCCAGTATCATACCGGAACCAGCGCTTCATGAGCCGGTATCAAATCGATCCCCGTATGATACTGGGTCCGGCACCACACCGGAACCGGTGTTTCATAAGCCGGTATGAAATTGATACTGGTATGATACCGGACCCTGTATCATACCGGAATCGGTGTTTCATAAGCCGGTATGAAATTTATTCCGGTGCGATACCGGAACTGGTGTTTCATAAGCTGGTATTAAATTGATTTCAGTATGATACCGGACCCTGTATCATACCAGTACTGGTGGTCCTAGTATCATACCAGTACTCAGCGTCAAAATATCATTTTTGATTATCAAGAATGGACAAAATAAAAAATTATAACTTGAATAAGCACATCATTCATAACACTTGGAAGGACACCATTGTGTAGCAGAAAATGCGTTGTAAATATTGCTTCTACACCATTGTGTAGCAGAAATTCGGTGTAAATATTGCTTCTACACCACTGTGTAGCAGAAAATGCGTTGCAAATATTGCTTCTACACCACTGTGTAGCAGAAAATGCGTTGTAAATATTGCTTCTACACCATTGTGTAGCAAAAATTCGTTGTAAATATTGCTTCTACACCATTGTGTAGCAGAAATGCGTTGCTTCTACACCATTGTGTAGCAGAAGTGCGTCGTAAATATTGCTTCTGCACCATTGTGTAGCAGAAAATGCGTTGTAAATATTGCTCCTACACCATTGTGTAGCAGAAAATGCGTTGTAAATATTGCTTCTAATTATAATAAAGAAGATAAATGACTTACATTGAGAGTGTATTTCTGGGTATTCTCCATTTATGAATCATTCCCATATCTTCGAACATACTGATGACCGCCTGAAAAAGAACAAATTTCGTTTAAACGTGTTTTACGCTGTTTAAACGTGTTAACACTAAAGGTACACTACTCACCAACACGGTGTCCTGTTCATTCAAAGACCTGGGAATGAATGTAAGTTTACTAAAATCTTCATCTGGACGGGGTATAACCATTTCAGTCAGTTTGACTACTTCTTCCGGGGGAACCTATAGAACGTCAAGTACCAGAAAATCACCTTTCATGCAGCTGGGTTATCAAGTATGTAACCGTGAATGAAGTCAAGAGAATGTCGACTTTCACCGGTGAATGTCAACAATCACATAGTCGCTTTGGTGAATGAGCGAAATATTCGTTATATCCGATTTGATAATAATTTATTCCTTGGTATTATTATATTATATTTATTCGATGTTTTAATATTTGCTGAGGATTAGGAGAAACATTAGTGTTCGGAGTACTGGTTAAATGGTTACTAGACAGTGGCACTTGACTTTAAAAAACACATTGATGTAAGGCATACCGGGCAGTGGCACTTAACTAGACCTAGCATATATTTCGGACATTTACCAAAACGACTATATGATTGTCAGCATTCACCAATTTCTGTCATTCACCCTAACGTATATAAGTTTTTTGATGTGGTTTGTTTCGCTTTGGCTGTAGAGGCATAAATTATTCAAAATGTAAGTTAGGGTAAACAATAAATAAATAAAATAAAAAAATAAATAAATGAATAAAAATAAATAATAAAGGAACACCGAAATTAGCAATAACGAATAGAATTGGTTTAAAATACCAATTTTAATTACTTTTTTTTTAATCTTTAAATCTTTTTCTTTTTCTTAAATCGTTTCTGATTTTTCATTTCTTTCCTTGTTCTCTTTATATTTTCATCCCATTTTGAGTTCTTTGTACATACTGTTAATGCGCAATTAATAAAACTTAATGATTTTTAAATTTTAAATTTTTCTTTGTAAAATCTTAATATTTATGTTTATACTAATATTTCAGTAGAAGAACTTTCGGGCGCTGCGACATAAATACATTAAGGTTTGAATGAGAAAAATTGAAAACACAAGAAATGCAATTTCAGTTATTTAAATTTATGGGGGGAAAAATTCATCATGATTTTTGCAATCTTAATTTTTCTAAAAGGTGAGTGAATGTGAATAATATAATATATAAATAAATAAAATAAATAAAAAAAACCCAATTGTTTTCTGTTTTTGTAAAGTTCAAATTGTACTATTTCGAGGGTAAAAATGGAATTCTTAAACTTTTAAGTTTATTAGGGAAAAAATCATCATGATTTTTGCAATCTTAATATTTCTAAAAGGTGGGAAGTGGAGGTAAAGAAATGAATTTACCTGCATGTGATACATCATGAGTTCATTTGATAGTCTACTTCTGTGTTGAGCGTCACGAACTTTCTTCCACATCAGAGACTAAATGTACAAAAAAACACTTTCATAAAACACAGAAACCAAAAAAAGGAGCCATACGAAATTTCTACGAAAATCTACGAAATTTTAGAACTGGCTCTTGAAGCAGCGTGAGTGCGTAAAAGAAGTAAACCTGGCACATTTTCTGATTTTCTATAATATGATAATTTCTATTGACCGAAATTAAGAGAATTAGCATATTTTTTTTAAATTTTATGAAAACAATTGAATTGATATGTAAAGTTACTGCTTCAAAACAATGTTGTGTGCCGAACACTTTAACGCGTGAATACTTCAGTAGAGGTAGGTAGGTACTTTATTTGCGTCGCACTAGAGCTGCACAATGAACTATTGGCGACGGTCTGAGAAACATCCCTGAGGATGATCCGAAGACAAGCCATCGCAATTTTGATCCACGGCAGGGAGGATGGCTCTCCTGCTTTGGTAGCCCGACGACCTGCGAAGTCAATCACTTTACGGTGGAGCAGTCTCGGTTCACTTCATTGGAAGTCGAATGCTCTATCCCCTGAGCCATCCCGGCTCAGGTACAGTGATTGGTGTGAGGTATGTTCGTCTCTTCCGGGGTTCTGCTCTCATTTTAATAGTTGACCCTGCGACACACACAGAGCAATTCTGGCCGATATTTTTTGGAAAATGAAGATATTCACCGGATGTATTTGGTCTGTCAGATCTCCAGACCTCACATTATCTCAACGATCTCATAGCCAATACACTTCATCAGCATGATCATTTGGCCGACTTTATCTTTTCTAAATGGATTTTCCTTTATTTGAAGAAATGTATGACTGTTACGTATCGTTGTCACGATGCCGACAGCTCACATTATCTAAACGATCTCATAGCCAATACACTTCACGAGGATGGCCAATTAGCCGATAGTATCTTCTCTATCTAGGTTTCCAGATTAAAAAGATAATGTCGGCTAAATGATCATGCCAGTGAAGTGTATTGGCTATGAGACCGTGTCGATAATGTGACAACGATATTCTTCAAATAAAGGGTTATTTTGGAAGTGATGGAATTATCATAACATTCCTCGAATAGTACTTACATGCATTATACTAATACCACAGTAAATTGCAAACGCCTTTGCAATTTCTTCATCGAATGAAGAGAAACACCTCTCATTCAATTTGTTGCAAAGTTCCGCAACTCCTANTAATTATTGCTTGATACTTGACATCTCTTCTCTGCTACTATCTTTCCTATTTCGGGAGAAATTTTATTGGACGAGATTACTTTCAAAATTGATCCAACGTTATTAATACGGTTTCGGACAGGAGATTTATTTCCATTCATAACAGAAAATAATTGCTCACACTGACAAGTACTTCCAAACATGGAAACAATTTCACATGCGAATTTTCCAGTTTTTTCAAACCCTGCCGGTAAATATTTATAAAATTCAGGCACACCCACTTCAATGAATTTTGCCTTCAAATTTGAATCGCACTGAATCTCAATCACTTCCATTTGCATACTACTGGGTACTGAGTCTATATTTATTGAGAAAATCGAAGAAAACAAACGAAATTTGTTTTCCAAAGAATTAAAATATTTAAACCTTGTTTCAAATTCTGTTCTAAGATTTGAAATTTGTTCTGCGTAATTTTGATACCATGCAGTATCCCCGGAATGGCAGGTGCCGCAAGCCAATTAGAATTTTACATTTTTGAGCGTACAATTTAAAATTATCCGTATAGTTTATAAATAAAGTATATTATAATTTTATATGTTGGTTTCCTTTCTAATTCACATTTCTATTTTATTTTTACTTTGCTTCGTATGTATCGAAAGAGCCGCAAAAATGTTAATCTCGGGCTGCATGCAGCCCGCGGGCCGCGAGTTTGACACCCCTGATGTAGGGCATGCCGGGCAGTGGCACTTAACTAGACCTAGTATATATTTCGAACATTTACCAAAACGACCGTATGATTCTCAACGTTCACCAATTTCTGTCATTTACAGTAACATGTATAAGTTTTTTTGTGTGGTTTGTTTCGTATAAATTATTCAAAATGTAAGTTAGGGTAAAAAATAAATAAATAAAATAAAAAATAAATAAAGGGATAAAAGTAAATAATAAAGAAACACAGAAATCGGCAATAACGAATAGAATTGGATTAAAATACTTATAAAAATCAGATTATTTAAAATCTTTGTACCTAACGGTTTTCAATATTTTGTAATGGTATGCTCTTGTTTTCTGAAAAGCGTAATTTAATATAGGGTATGGATGTTGACTAATTCAATGCGGGAAAGTACAATTAAATCAATGATTTTTATAGAATTTAATTACATCTGTTATATATCCATAAATATTAATCAAATTGTGGAAGAGTATGTCTATTTGTTGGTTGGATAAATAATAATTATTACTACAAATTCCTTTGTTTCATATATTTGATTAAAAGCAGTATTGAAATAAATGCTTAAAAAAAAATTCAAATTCATAATTTTTGTGATTTTTGCTTAATATTTCATTATTTTCGATTTCCCCCCCTTTTTTTTCCAGATTTTCTGAGTATATAATCGTGTGATCTGATGTTGGGATTATATCTTTTCGTTGTTTTATTTTCTGATTTTATTTACTTTTTTAATCGTTAAATTTTTTTTTCATTTTTATTCTTTTTAAATCGTTTCCGATGTTTCATTTCTTTTCTTGTTTTCTTTGTATCTTCATCTTATTTTGAGTTCTTTGTACATACAGTTTATGAGCAATAAAACTAAATAATTTTTAAATTCTTAATTTTTTGTTGTAAAATCCTAATATTTATGTATATGCTAACATTTCGCTAGAAGAACTTTCAGACGTTGCGAAGTAAATACAATAAGGTTTAAATAAGAAAAATTGAAAACACAAGAAATGCAATTTCAATTTATACTATTAAGAAAATTTCTTACTTCGTTAAGAACATTTCGTCTTAGTTGTTGAATACCTTCAAACAACTTTTTTTCTTCAAACAATCTGTTTTAAGTGACGGCCACTAGACCGAATGAGACATACGCATTGAAATTTGCAATATTTATTTTTAAGAAAAAGCTTTTGTTTATTATTTTTTTGCTGTCATACATATGCATGTATATTAGCAAAGGTTGATGAGGTTGACATCATTTGACATAATTCAAATCTTGCATACATTTTGGTTCACCCAGTGTATAATTTAAGTCACGCAAATTCACACAAAAAAATTTCTTAAAACTGAGATACCTGATTCGGATGAGCTATTTCAGAGATATTTAAAAACCCATTTGTTTCAACCAAGTTGATATGCGTTTTCAGCTATTTTTTATGGATTAAAATAGACTTAAGTAAAAAATACAGTGAATAATGCTGAAGTATATTTCATTCAAAAAGAAAAGTTATTTTGAAATGGAAAATTCGAAAACGGTTGTGGAAATTAAATAATATCGTTAAATCGTGGGAATATTTTAAATGAATATTATAAGCGTTTTCATTTAACTATTTTATACTTTGTAAAATGGAGAAAATCCCATTTAAGCCTATTTCCGACCGAAATCATGCGAATAAAATAAATAAATGAAATAATCCAATTGTTTTCCGTTTTTAAAAAATTTAATTTGTACTATTTCGGGGGTAAAAATGGAAGTTATTTAAATTTATAAGGTAAAAAATATCCATCATGATTTTTGCAATCTTAGTATTTCTAAAAGCTGAGTGAATGTGAATAAAATAAATAAATTAAATAAATGAAATAATCCAATTGTTTTCCGTTTTTAAAAAATTTAATTTGTACTATTTCGGGGGTAAAAATGGAAGTTATTTAAATTTATTGGGGAAAGAAATCCATCATGATTTTTGCAATGTTAATATTTCTAAAAGGTGAGTGAATGAGAATAAAATAAATAAATAAAATGGGTAAAGAAAGTAAACCAATTTTTTTCTGTTTCTGAAAAGTTTAATTTGTACTATTTGGGGGATAAAAATGGAAGTTATTTAAATTTATGAGGGGAAAAAAATCCATCATGATTTTTGCAATCTTAATATTTCTAAAAAGTGAGTGAATGTGAATAAAATAAATAAATAAAATAAACTAATTGTTTTCTGTTTTTGAAAAGTTTAATTTGTACTATTTGGGGGATAAAAAAAGAAGTTTTATGCTTTTGAATTTATTAGGGAGAAAATATCCATCATGATTTTTGCAATCTTAATATTTCTAAGAGTGGAGGTAAAGAAATGAATTTACCTGCATGTGATACATCATGAGTTCATTTGATAGTCTACTTCTGTGTTGAGCGTCACGAACTTTCTTCCACATCAGCGACTAAATGTACAAAAAAATACTTTCATTAAACACAGAAACAAAAAAATGAGCCATACGAATAATCTACGAAATTTTAGAAGTGGCTCTTGGAGCCGCGTGTGAGAGCAGAAGAAATAAACCTGACACAGTTTCTTATTTTCTATAATATGATACTCTCTGGTGACCAAAATTAAGAGAATTAGCATATTTTGTTAAATTTTGGGAAAGCAATTGGATCGATATGTAAAACTACTGTTTCCAAACAATCTTGTGTGCCGAATACTTCATTAGAGGTAGGTAGGTACTTTATTTGCGTCTCACTAGAGAAGCACAATGAGCTATTGGCGACGGTCTAAGAAATATCCCTGAGGATGATCCGAAGACATGCCATCGCAATTTTGATCCTCTGCAGGGAGGATGACTCTCCTGCTTTGGTAGCCCGACGACCTGCGCACGAAGTCAATCACTTTACGGTGGAACAGTCCCGGCTCACTTCATTGGAAGGCGAATGCTCCGCCCCCTGAGCCATCCCGGCTCAGGTACAGTGATTGGTGTGAGGTATGTTCGGCTCTTCCGGGGTTCTGCTTTCATTTTAATAGTTGACCCTGCGACACACACAGAGAAATTCTGGGCGATATTTTTTGGAAAATGAAAATATTCACCGGGTGTATTTGGTCTGTCAGATCTCCAGACATCACATTATCTCAACAATCTCATAGCCAATACACTTCATCAGCATGATCATTTGGCCGACATTATCTTTTCTATATGGATTTTCCTTTATTTGGAGAAATGTATGACTGTTTCGTATCGTTGTCACGATGCCGACAGCTCACATTATCTAAACGATCTCATAGCCAATACACTTCACGAGGATGGCCAATTAGCCGATAGTATTTTCTCAATCTAGGTTTTCCTTTATTTGGAGCTACCGGCATCGTGACAGCGATACGAACCAGTCATGCATTTCTCCAAATAAAGGAAAACCCCAGATTAAAAAGATAATGTCGGTCAAACGATCATGCTTGTAAAGTGTATTGGCTATGAGACCGCGTCGATAATGTGAGCATCGCGACAACGATATTCTTCAAATAAAGGGTTATTTCGGAAGAGACGGAATTATCGTAACATTCCTCGAATAGTACTTACATGCATTATACTAATACCACAGTAAATAGCAAACGCCTTTGCAATTTCTTCATCGAATGAAGAGAAACACCTCTCATTCAATTTGTTGCAAAGTTCCGCAACTCCTATTACATCTGAAACGAAACATGAAATGATTTTACAGTCTCTTCTACTGCCGTTTTTTTTTTTAAAAATTCTAATCAATAAAGAATTATCTTACCTTTATCATCTTTTATAGGAAAGCATAGTATGTTTCTAAAACAGAGTGAAATGAATTTTTAGAGTAACTTTTTTAAAAAAGATATTGAAATACAATATTGTTTGTAAGTACACATTAAAATATAGAATGTTTGGTGCTGTAGTAAATAAATGACAGGCAGTGTATAATTTATAATTACTTGTATTAAATGAAAAGTACAATGATCGAAGTCTTACCTTGTCTTGAAACCGGTTGTTTCATCCATTTTTCTATAGAAGAGAGGATGGCTGTATGCATCATGGATGTTCAGAAGTTCACCTGAATTAACAAGTTGCAATTAAGAGCCAGTTTTTTTTTTTTTGAGAAATTGGGCAAATCAGCCACGGTTGGATACTTGAAACTCTTTATTTTGTTAAAACTTTCTGGTTTTGCCCTTTAAGTAAAACTGTTAGACATTTTTGTTCTAAGTTTTTGTTTTTTTTGTGGGAGGATCCTATTGAATTTTGAAAGATGTTTGTAAAGGGTGTTTTTTTTCACAAAATTTAATAGATTGAAGATCATATTAAATTTTGTGAAAAAAAAACATCTACTAACATGCTGTAATATTTTTTGTTAAATTCGCGAACCACAGCACTGAACATTATTTAGTGTTCAAATACTTTCATACCGAATGAGCGTATCCTGAAAATTTCAACAAAATGAAACCCTGACTGACCCTCTAAAGAACTGACCGCCATTAACTTCAACAATTAAGGATGTCTTCTTGACAATAAATGAGAGGTGAATTTTATGTTGGAATGCATGCTTCGATTGATGTGTGTATTACGTGAATATCGTTTTAAAACATGCCACGATTATACAGTCACATTTGCTTTTCGCCAAGCCTAAAAGATGTTTGTAAAGTATTTTTGAAACTGATTTTCTTGTTAGACTTACATTAATCGGAATCTTTTGTGTACACTTGAATCGTCAAATGCAAAAAAAGGAAAAAAAGAGAGAGATCTAAACATGTGTGATGTTTGAATTATTTTAAATTATTTGAAGACCAATGATAGTAAAAATGCACTTTCTATCTACCACGTCACTATCTATCACGGGATTTGAGATACGTTATTTTTTAAATTTAAAAAGAAATCGAAGGGCGGGAAAACACCACTTTAGTGCCGAGAAAAACCATTTTCTTACTGAGAAATAGGAGGACCTTACCTGATGTGGCCACGTATCCAGCAATTCCTTGATCAGCCGGTATTCTGACTTCTGATGTTGTCTAGTAAAAACAAAAATGAATGAATCAGATAATTGAATAAAGGAATAGATTATGCACGTAGGAATTTTAAAATGAAGAATTTGACTATCTTCGTTCTGAAATTTGGACTGTGGACAACAATTTCTGAAAAATCCTTGAAAAATATAAATTAGATCTGTTTAAAATTTGGCCATTGATGAAAATTAAACTGCATACGATTCCGTTTTTTTTCTCTCCAAAAATCAGTGGTGTTTTCTAGATAACAGCTCTCATTAATATCTATTTACTCGCTTTGTCAGGTAATTTCAATGATCAACGTGAACGTGGTCACAAAATTAGCATTTCAAAAGTTATCTGAAACCACGTGTTTATATCGTTTGAACGTGCCTTAAGAACGTGTTTCAATAAAACTAAAGTCAACAGTAATTTAATAACATAACTGGCGTTGAGCAGTAGACCCAATTGTGAGTTTACTACAATCAATGTTCAAAGCCTTGTAATTTTGAACCCAGAAGGCAAAGAAAACAGCATTGGGACATCGTGGAGGACTTTTTGGTGGAAATAATTTGCTCTTGCTTTACATCTTTATCGGTTAATCTTTATTTTTATGATATGAGCTAGAGGTTTCTCGCAAGCATCGAAAAAGATATTGCCAAAGACTGCTGTTTCCACAAAAGTGTAGGACTCAATTTTGTTTTCTTGGTTCAATGTACCCCTGCTAAATCTGATTTAAAAACTATTCATTTGAGGCATTTAAGTTTTACTGGATTTGTTTGTTGTTTTTATATTCTGTTTTCATACTCTTGTGGCCAAAATGTCTTCGTTCGGGAAAGATATGTATTCCAAATAAGGAATGGAATTTTTCCCGATTTCTGTATAAGCGTATATTTTAAATACGCCCATTTTCAAAGTTTTGCGTAAATATTAGTATTGCAATTATATTTTAGTTAATTTTTCACAAACTCAATTGTTTAATTGGAAAAAAAGATGAATTCTTAGTTTTGGAACGCCAATAAAAAACAAAAGAATACATTTTCGAAATGTATGGTCACATTTATATACCGTTTATTTACTTATTTTTTCTTTTCATGCATTTGTCCCAATCCGGGTCTAATGTACAGTAAATAGCTACGATTACAATTTTAATTAATCAACGAAGCCATCTGATGGAGCAGCTTCTGTTGGTCAAAAAGACGAGAGAACTCTGGGTGAAGTCCGAGGGTACCCAAGTCAAAATTCTTGATGGTCCCATAAATTTTTTTTGATGATTTATGTTGGTTTCAGCGTGATTCATGATGGCCCAACATCATTTGATAGTCACCCTCATCCAGCATTCATTCATGGTTTTTGATATGCCAACAAACTTCCGTCACTTCATGATGGAAAATGCTACTTTAATACTATGATGGTCAATCATCAAGAGAAGTCTCATTGAATAACAATCCATGATTATCCGTGACAGTCCATGATGGTTCCAACTATGCATTTCCCTGATAGTTTAATGGAAATTCTTGCTGGTTCTCAGGAATATACAATTCTTTTTTAATGTTGGACCATCATAAATCAGCCCGAATTTCTATATTGGGGTGATGGCTACTTACGTTGGTTACCATCAAAAAATATAATGGTTCATGATGGAATTATTGACGTCTACCATCAAGACTACGTTGACCCATCAATGGAAAACCATCAAGAAGTTTGACTTGGGTACAAGTCTGTCTTAGTTTCTGTGCCTGCTGATTTTAGCTCGATAAAACGGGATAGCCTTCACTCCTAGGGTGGCCCTACCAGGAAAAAATCTCTCGACGTATTTTTCCCATCCCATCAAGGGACACCCTCCCCCCACGATGAGCCAACCACCAGGACTTGAAAACTAATCAGACCATCTTTTTTGTTTGCTGATTTTCTTACGGTCAGCAGCGTCCTGGAGCTTATTTGACATACGTCAGATTAAGAGAATAAGCAACACAACAAGAATTATAACTAGAACTTAAATTTTGTCTCATTGATAATATTGCAGTATTCTTTTTTCTCATTAAATGGTTCTTAAGATATCACTTACAAGTAAGTTTCGTTAATTTATTCATAAACTAACTAATCTTGTGATCAATATAGTTGTGAAAATATTTGCATTTACCTCAGTTCCGTCTTCGGCAACATTTCCGTCAAAAACTTTAGCCACTAATTCATTTCTTTCTTTTTCTAATAAAAATAAAGAACATCTGAAAGAGAAATAAACAATCAGCAATTTTATTTTTGCAATTCTTATACTACTTTACTTAGGGGGTTAAGCCCCTTGTTCGCTAACGTTCACCAACCCGGATGATTGCTTCGCTACAATTGCCGTTTCTTGGCATGAAGTAATTGAAATTATTCAACTAAAAATATATGTACTAAAAAGAACACTCGTGCCCCCATTTCCCCACTTCCAAATATTTTCCTTATGATACTATTAAGATCTATAAGTGAACATATTATGAAATATTATTAAAATTATATTAGTTATTTTATAAAATAATATTTAAAATTAAAAGTATATTGTTATAACAAATTTGGTGAGTTCACAATTGTTATTTAATATTTTTGTTTGCCAAACGGACGTATGTATTTTAAATACAATTTTCGCATTCATCACTTTGTGCATGAAGCTGAAAGTTAATGTTCTAAGTCATTTAACGAATCTCTTTAACCGTAATTAAAAACAGTATATTAATGTAATTTGAACCAAAAAATAATAATTGTAAAACAGTTAATAAGATCAGACACTGATTTAAATTACTTTCTTAAAATATAATGTAGAATTTCATTATTCTAATAGTAATAATAAAAACAATCCTCCTGAACTCGAAATTTAGAAATCAAACAAAATTAAAAACGTAATAATAACAATACGGGTAAATTTAACCTTCAAATTAGGGATAATTTAATATGATTAAAGATAATTTTATATGTTTGAAGAAGGAGACATTTGAGTCATGGCAAAAAAACAATTTCTTTTACCAGAAAACTTTGCAATTACACTGTTAGAATTTTCGGTTTAAAATTATGGTAAAATAACCGGAAGCAGTCTGTCCATCCAATTAACCGCAAAGTTTACAGTAAAGAACATTTTTTACTTTTATGGTTTTGAAACCATTTACAACTAGTATGGTAAAAAAATTCACGAATAAAAATTATACAGTTAATCATTTACAACTACCAAGGTTTAAAAAGCGTAACAAAAAAGAAGCAGCTTTATGGTGCTGCCATCTATGCGTGAATGAGAGTATCGTTTTTTAATGGTTCAGGATCCCAAACTGGACNTTGTTATTTAATATTTTTGTTTGCCAAACGGACGTATGTATTTTAAATACAATTTTCGCATTCATCACTTTGTGCATGAAGCTGAAAGTTAATGTTCTAAGTCATTTAACGAATCTCTTTAACCGTAATTAAAAACAGTATATTAATGTAATTTGAACCAAAAAATAATAATTGTAAAACAGTTAATAAGATCAGACACTGATTTAAATTACTTTCTTAAAATATAATGTAGAATTACATTATTCTAATAATAATAATAATAAAAACAATCCTCCTGAACTCGTAATTTAGAAATCAAACAGAATTAAAAACGTAATAATAACAATACGGGTAATTTTAACCTTCAAATTAGGGATAATTTAATATGATTAAAGATCATTTAATATGTTTGAAGAAGGAGACATTTGAGTCATGGCAAAAAAAAAATTTTTTACCAGAAAACTTTGCAATTACACTGTTAGAATTTTCGGTCTAAAATTATGGTAAAATAACTGGAAGCAGTCTGTCCATCCAATTAACCGCAAAGTTAACAATAAAAAACCATTTTCACTTTTATGGTTCTGAAACCATTTACAACTAGTATGGTAAAAAACACGAATAAAAATAATACGTTTTTTAACCATTTACAACTAGCAAGGTTTAAAAAACGCAACGAAAAAGAAGTAGCTTTATGGTGCTGCCATCTATGCGTGAATGAGAGTATCGTATTTTAAAGGTCCAGGATTCCAAACTGGAAATAGCAGGACGTTGGAAACTCTTCATATGTAGAAGGCAATAGAGGAAATATTGTGATGTCAACGCTGTGGTTTGAACCCCAGCTTTCTTGGTCATGAGATTGACAGATTAGCCCCCTCGCCCATAATATGTACACATCTGCAAGGAAGTGGCTTTATTTGGTGGGTCTAGTTCACGCTATATAATTCTGGTTGTTTAAATGTAATAAGAGAAAGCAGTTAATTAAAGGTTTTTCTCACTGTTAACAGTTTGAATACCATTTTATTTATGGTTATATGACTGATTTGTTTGAATATGGTTGCATGACAATTAAATAAATTGTTATCTTACCATTTTTTCTAAGAGCTTTCTAAATATAGAAATGAACATTAAATATCATTTACCTTTCTGCTTTCGTTAAATGCCTCGCTTGTGCCATTATTTCTCTAAGGAGAAGTGTTACGTCATCTGAAATTTAAGAAATAAACAAAAAAATAATTACAGTTATTGACAAAGTTTTGCAAGTACACATCATACCAATGCTTTCAAAATGTAATTGCTTTCAAAAACTTAAAGTTTTGTAAAATCTCAATTTCAGGTCTTGGAAAGTTTTTATTTCCTCAAAGATCCGTACACAAAATGAAAATTTTATTAAAAAAAAACTGCTTGAAGATTTTTTTAAGCACATTTACAGATGGTTCAATACGTTGTGTTAGAAAATAATGAGACTTGCAAACAAAGGCCTCGAATGCTGTGTGGCAAAACGAAATTTTCGTGTTTCAAATTATAGTTTTGTCTCAATCAGCTCTAAAAATAAATTCGTTTTGATGTCCCAAGTCAAAAACTTTGATGGTTTTTCATTGAGGGACCAACATAATCTTGACAGTAACCATCAATAATTCCATCATGAACCATTATATTTCTGATGATATCCAACATAAGTTACCATCACCCCGATGTTGGAATTCGGACTAATTCATGATGGACCAACATTAGAATAGCAATTTGTTTTGATGATTTGTTCATGTTGAATTATAAGAAATTTCCATCATAGTTTCTTCGAAATCAAAAATTGGAGCGATCATAAACTACCATCACCCCAATGTAGGAATTCGGAATTATTTTTGATGAGTCAACATAAAGGAAAAATTGATGGTATATTCCAGAGAACCAGAAAGAATTTTCTTTAAACCATCATGGAAATGTATAGTTGAAACCATCATGAACCATGACGGATCATCATGGATTGTTGGTTCACGAAAATCAAACTTCTCTTGATGGTTAACTATCATAGTATTAAAGAAGCGTTTTCCATTATGGAATGATGGAAGTATGTTGGCATATAAAAAACCATGAACGCAAAATGGAAAATGTTAGATGATGATAACCATCAAATGATGTCGAACTATCATGAAACCAACATAAACCATTAAAATGTTTTGCTGGAACCATCAAGAGCTTTGACTTGGGGAGTCAAACGAAAGTGAGTCAAATAGTAGTCTCATTGAGCTATTTGTCCCACTGGCTAACTAGTCTTCGCTTGGGTTACTGTGTTGGGTGTGATAGTCCAGCCTTTGAACCGTACCACCATATGTGTATATATATAACTCTTCATATGTTGAAGGGAATAGAGNCGTCGCAATATTATAGTTTTGTAACATTATAGATACCTATATATATATATATACAGAATTGTATACAATATATAAATCCAGCTAATGCATTTTAAAGAGCCTAACTACGAAGTTATTTTAAATTTTTTTCCCATTTCTTTTTTTAATGTTTGATATGGTCTTTACTACTTATAACTAAAGAAGAATATTTTTAGAATAAAATAGTAGAATATTTTTAGAAGTAAAATGTGCATCTTTTTTTTAGTATCATGTCTGGTATTTAATACACAAGATAAATATAAAAGCATTTTGTATGAAAGTCTAAAAACACATGAAGCTTATTAAAAAGAAGTAATAACTGGTTGCAGGTGAGAGCTAAGAAAAAGAAATTCCCTATCTACCGGTCTGGGATGGATTCACGTGATCAAGCTTTATCACTTTCTAAGTGGTTTCGGCCGTGCACGGCAGCCATACGGCGATTAATTTCGTGTTGAAGAACACTTTCCAAAAGCCAGACCATACCAAGCTGTTCATCTTTTTTTTTATATATATGTAACTGTCGTTGAACAGCCGATCCGATTTTCGACTTAATACGCTACAGTTTTGTAATTCTGAATCAAATGCAGAAAACAAGGGAACTCCTCAATCAAGTATTGGGAAAAATTTGCTTTCGTAGAGGATCTTTTGATGGAACTAACCCACATTTGTGTTCCTTGGAGAGGGAAACCACGAAAACCTCCCATGGTTAGTATGACGGCAAGAGGAGTCTAACTTATGATCCGTCTACCACTGAGGATATTTTAAGTCAGCACTGTGGTCGGTGTGAGCCGAATGAGGAATTCGTATCGACCTGCCATCGCTGGGATTCGAATCCCGGTTCACCCCATTGGAAGGCAAGCGCTCTCACCCTAAACCACCACGGCTCGCTGTTCATCTTTTTTAGTGCCAAGCATCCATGTTCTGTCCAATGCATGAGTGAATTAAAAAACTTTTGTCTTCACACTTTCTTAAATATACTTGCATCCCTTACAATGAATGGACCGAACCATTATTGCGCGGTATGGGTGGGCTCACTTTCAGATATTTTCAAGATATTTTCCTGCTGAGATTTAACACTAGGTTTACGGACCTTTCTTACATACCTATCTCTACGAACACGTGTCAATTTGACGCATGAAAGAATGCATATAACAGCACTTACAGAGAGGCCAACTTGCTCCTGGCAGCAAATATATTTTTTAAAGTGGTAGTTTTTCAATTGTGATTCTTGGTTTAATCAATTCAATTTAGTAAATTTTTATCCACCACTATTTCTAAATAATTCGTAGGCTTATGTAATTCACCACTTTATGTTTGCGAAATTTACTTAGTAGTTATTTACCGTTTTTTTTAAAGAATTCCATTGGCGTGTCCGGAGCAGTTAGCATCTCTGCACTTAGAAAGCAATGTAATTATATACTATAAGAAAAAAAATGAAAATATGAGATATATATTTATGAAATATTCTAGTATTTTATTTTTCAATACTCGAACTAAGCAATTGAAACCTTCAAAATCTGACTCTCTGACATCAATTGACATTCGGCATTTGTTCTCTCTATTAATGCTTATCGGCAACAGTTGTTTATCGCTTATTTCATTTAAGATAACGATATCGGATAACGGATCGAAGTAGTGTCGGTACATTCCTATTTATTATTGATGTGATGCTTGCATGTTTATTCAAAATTTTGTCTAAATTACGATCGCGTCAAATTGACCCATATCCGTAGAGATAGGTATACCACATAGAGAATTTCAATATTTCAACACTTTTGAAGAGAATAGACTTCAATATATATTTACCTCAATCAATGGATAAAAGTCATTACAAGAGATAAAATAAAAATGCAAACGGGTTTTGTAACTTTCCTTATAAAATTCGAAATGCGTCTAAATGACACGTCCCGTAAACCTAGTGTTAAGATAAGGAAGGCACGTATTTTCAACTAAATTCATTCAAATTTAATTGTTACGTATTTATGAGTCCTTAATAAATCCAAGTATTTTAAAACGATTCATTCATAAAAATATTTTGTTACACTTTTGAACATTTTACGACAAAGAGATCTCACTTATTTCATCCTAGTACAAGTTATTAACTGGTGTCGTAAAGTAACTCATTTCTAGAATGCTTTTTATTACTTCGTTTTAAAGCGAAAGAAAATATGTTGCAGAAACTAAAAGAAACTAAAGAAAGTCATAAAATTAGAGACATCCCGAGAATGCTGATCGCAATCTATAGAGAATATATTCAATGAAGATTATCGCATTCTTCATATTTAAATTTAAAAAAAAAAAAGAAACATACGGAATTTTTTTTTTCAGTGCATCTTTAAATAAATGAATTTTATTATAAATACATTCATTTATTTCATCACATTTTCAACAAACTACTATCACAACATTTTAATATTGTAATGTTATTTAGATTGTAATGTTATTTAGATTGTAATATTATAGTTTTGGGATATTATTTGTTATATTTTAATATTAGAGTATTTTATACACCTGCCGAAAGAAATTTACTAATACACCAACTCTTCAAAAATCTTTTAGCATTTAAAAAAAAAAATTATGTTCTCTATATAGCTGATCACTGGTCTAGTGGCTACTGTATTGGACTACAGGGCCCAGTGGTTGTGGGTTCGAATCCCACCGTAGGTATTTCTGATTCCAATGGGAAATAGACTCAAGTGCTCGCCGTTGAAAAAAAAAACAACTGTTATTACTTTAATTTATTTCATCACATTTTTATCAAACTATTATTACAATATTTTAATATTGTAATATTTTAATATTGTAATATTATTTATATTGTCATATTATTTACGTCGCAATATTATAGTTTTGTAACATTATTTGTTATATTTAAGATTATTACAATATTTTATACTCCTACCGAAGGAAATTTACTTACACTCTTAACTCTACAAAAGTCTATTAGTATTTATTTTGTTAAAAATAAATGATGTTCACTGTAAAACTTTGCAGTAGTCATAAAAATACTTTCTTCTGCAATTAATAAATCATTTGCCTCAAGAATATCAAAGAAAGGGATTGCTTATTAAATCCACTTCAAGGAAAGTTTTGAAAGTCATAAAAAAAGAAAAAAGAATAATGTATTTGAATACTCACCTAAATGGGTGAATAGATTTTTAGCCACAGTGAGCAGAGACTGCATGTAAAAGAATTAAAGAAAAAAAGATGCATTGCAATTGCGATCATCAACACTTTCCTCTTCAAATGTAAATAAGATAACACATATATGAATTGAGGACAATTGACAGATGCTTAAAGCACTGCTCCTATGATGAAATCAATTGACTTTGGAGTCACATCGGTGCCCATTTTGTAAATACTGAACAAGAATAAATAAATAAATACAAGCAAATCTCTGTATAGTTTGTCTGTGTGAAGAACTCCCCACGCCATTTGTCTGGAGTAGTGGCGGTGACTATGGTTACTAGGTTTAAACATTTCAAGTAGAGGTGTTAAATCATAGTTAAAGACAGGTTTTGGCTCAGGTCGGCGAGAAAAATGGATTTAGGGGAGAAAGAAGCTCCCCTCTTTGAAATGCACTATTTCTTGTTTTCATAGCAGCAGGAGGCATTAGAATGCGTGGCGAGGGGAGTTCTATCTATAGACAAACTGCATAATAAATCTATTCGCATATATGTTCTCTAATAACTCGAGGAGAGGTTTGGATCGTATTTTTTCTACAGTTTGCAACTTTTTATGCGGTGGTATGTAAGCAGTCACCTTTTTATGACGTCATTTAGTTTAGACGCAATATTGAAAACGCGAAATTCTATTGTTGAAAACCATTGTTGCAAATCAAACATTCCTTGATATCTTTTGAAAGGTTTCCCCGATTGGCTCAGCATTTTTATTTTGTTACAGATATTGATAATATTTTTTGGGGGGATCATTCTGCGTTATTTTCCATTCCATGCGATGTAGAAAAAGGAGTTTTTTTGTCATTGTTTTAACGTTTTGCTGTCATGGAAATATTACTACAAAGTGTTTTAAAAAATAGAAGTAGACGAATCTCTTCTATTTTGTAAAAATAGAAGTTTTGCAAACATTTCACTTACAAATTATTCACCGCGATTCCCACTTTGGTCAAATCTAAAAAAATAACAAATCTAATCTAATAAATCTAAAAATCAAATCTAATCTAATAAAATCAAAAAGTGCGAACATGCAAGAGGGAAAAAATTGAATCCAGTTTCATTTCTGCTTAATTACGTATGATTTTTATTTTACAATTATCGATATTAAATCTCGAAATACTTGAAATTCTTCCTATTTAAAAAAAGTGGGAGGAGCTTGTCGAAGGTTAGTAAACAGATAAAATTTATCACCACTAGTTTTATGTTTTTTGCTTTTTTATACAAAAAAAGTAATATTTGTTTTTGTATCTTAATGTCTATTATTATCACAAATTTTCACGTACTCAATAGTCATGGTAAAATAATTTACTGGACATACTGTTTTTAGATCGAAGAAGTCCATTTTATAATGAATATTGAATTTAGGTGAAACTTCGTAACTATATTTATGCTCATTTAAAATATTTTTGCACTAGTTCTATGATAATTTCAGTCAAAAAATAATTTATTTTTTAACTATTTCAGCATAATTTCCTTAAATTAAAATGTATGTAAATATTTACATCATCTTAAACTATGTCAATAACAAAGTATGCAAAAAAAAAAATCATATATAAGAAGTGAAACTTGAAAAAAAAAAGTTTTATTTTTCCAATTTTATTCCACGAATTTAAACATTTGGAGCTGTTCATTCTCATTTTGTTGAAATAAATTTTTGAACTAACTGAATGAAATAATTTAATAAGTTGCAGCAAGAATTGACGCATCATTTTAAATGAAGTGAATGATTCAGGACACTAAATAATTATTCAGAGAACAACAACTGATTCTGGAGTTGAGGATTATTCCTCTTAGATATTTTCGGAATAGTTAAATTGTTTGCCTCCTGAAAACTCTTTCAAGTCTTATGATTTATTCAAAGCTAATTCCTCATTTCCTATTCTGCTACTGAGTAATACTTCATTTTATGTTTGAATCCCCAGAAAAATTACGTCACATTCTTCAATTTTATGCATGAGTTTACTTAAAATTTGATGAAATAGCGTAATGTTTTTCAAATTTATCTTTTTTTTTGTAGACAGTGTGGAAAAAGCACAAAAAAGTCAGTTGTTTATTTTCCGTTCGCAAAATGTCTGCCATTATGACATTCGAAAGACATTCAGATCAATAAATAGCATTTGAAAACGCCTTCTGTTTTTCTGTTTTTAAATCAACCTAAAACTTTTAATGGGTTTAATTTATGTGTGTACATAAGTTTCCGGTCTACGCATATGATTTTTAAAATGTTTTCTCCCAGAGAAATTTAAATCAACTTTAAATAAATTTACGCAGTGAGTAAAATAGATTCAACACTTTCGGGTAAACTAGTTATTTGTCTGAAGAAAGTTGGGTTGATGAAGTCCTTAATGATTCATATTATTTCCTATATTATGTTGTGTTTACCTTCTTTTAGGGAGTTGTGTGACGTAAGCGAGAGGTTGCCTGGACGACGACATGAGAGCTGAAACTCAAATCGCTAATGACTGACGTGATCACACACAGTAAATGTAAATTGGTTTTATCGTGGGCATTAACTTCTGGTCTCTAATCCACAAAAGCCTCATTAAATAGTCGCCTTTAAAATATGCTCCCCATTAACTAACCCCTGTAATGAACTATTTCAATAGGAAATACAGAACAACGGTGACTTTCCTGATTATAGACAATATTTTTTTAAAAATCCTTCTTTCTTGTCATCTGAAGAAAAAAAAAGGCAAAATTATAATCCCTGTAATGAACTATTTCAATAGGAAATACTGTTCAACGGAGACTTTCCTGATTATAGACAATACTTTTTTTGAAATCCTTCTCTCTTATCTAAAGAAAAATTATAATCCCTGTAATGAATTATTTTAATTGGAAACGCAGAACAGCGGAGACTTTCCTGATTATAGACTATATTTTTAAAAAAAATCTTTCTTTCTTATCATCCGAAGATAAAAAAAAGGAAAATTATAACCCTTGTAATGAACTATTTCAATAGAAAATACAGAACAACAGAGACTTTCCTGATTTTCACTATATTTTTTAAAAATTCTTCTTTCTTGTCATCGGAAAAAAAGGAAAAATTATAACCCTTGTAATGAACTATTTCAATGGGAAATATAGAACAACGGAGACTTTCCTGATTATAGACAATATTTTTATAAAAATCCCTCTTTCTTGTCATCTGAAGAAAAAAAATAAAGGAAAAATTATAACCCTTGTAATGAACTATTACAATAGGAAATACAGAACAACGGAGACTTTCCTGATTATAGACAATATTTTTTTTAAAAATCCTTCTTTCTTATCATTTGAAGGGGGGAAAAAGGTAAATTATAACCCCTGCAATGAACTATTTCAATAGGAAATACAGAACAACGGTGTTCCTGATTATAGACAATATTTTTATAAAAATACATCTTTCTAGTCATCTGAAGAAAAAATTATGATTCCTTTTTTAGCAATTCCAGATTAATCTAGAAAGTTTTCCAACAAGTTAATTTTTGTGTAAGGGATGCTTCTATGATAAAGAGTTTAAAATACCTCACATTGACGATCGGTATTTTCAGTCCACTATTTTATTTTCTTAAATTTAACATCGGCAATTTAATAAATAGCTATATCTCACTACAAATATTTCGAACTTTCCATCTTTCAGAAGAAAAAAAATTTATTATTAGAAGGATAACAATCGAAATTAAGTTCGATTTAGTGAGAAAAACGATAAAGTGGTTATTTGAACAGCAGTTAATGAAGAAAGGGTTTGTTTTATGGATGAATAACAATAAAATCAGACAACGTGAATAACGTGACTTACTGAAGTTATGGTTCTATAATAAGGAACCTCACTGTTCAAAACGCAGAATATGAGAAGGAAAATAGGCAGGTGCAGAAAAAAAAATAACGAACAAGTTGCAGCAATGGTAGGTAAAAGCACTTAAATAGGAGATGTGGAAACGCGAGGAGCAGGTGTGGTCAGAATGTAACTAGTAGTAGAAGTAAGTAGTAAGGTAGAATGTAAATAGTAGTAGAAGTAAGTAGTAAAGTGGAATGTAAATAGTAGAAGTAAGTAGTAAAGTAGAATGTAAATAGTAGTAGAAGTAAGTAGTAAAGTAGAATGTAAATAGTAATAGAAGTAAAAAGTAAAGTAGAATGTAAGTAGTAGAAGTAAAGTAGAATGTAACCAGTAGTAGAAGTAAAGTAGAATGTAACCAGTAGTAGAAGTAAAAAGTAAAGTAGAATGTAAGTGGTAGAAGTAGTAAAGTAGAATGTAACTAGTAGTAAAAGTAAGTAGTAAAGTAGAATGTAACTAGTAGTAAAAGTAAATAACAAAGTAGAATGTAACTAGTAGAAGTAGAAATGTGAACGAGTTAAAGAAGCAGAAGTCTTACCTGACACTCTTCCCTTAGTCTTCTCTCTTCTTCGTGGGCTTCTGTTCTGAGTAAAATATGTGCAAGGGGACGAAAAGAGTTTAAAATTAGTTTTTCATCCTCTTCACAGAAACTGTGGAAGAAAAAAAAAACAACAGAGAAAAATTAATAATTTTGAAGATATTCAAAACTTTCACCAAGAAATTCAGGTATTTTGAAGGAATGCAAATGTTTTTTTCTGTGCTTTAATCGTCTGTTCTTTCTCACCATTTAGAAATATTTAGTTTACATTAAAACAATAAGAAACGATTAATTCACTTTTAACGGGGGGGGGGTACAATGAATTCTGCTAATAAACATCAAAATTTTTTTTTATTTTAGTGTGAATACCTTTTTTTATTGAGTAAGCAGACGATCATGGAGACGGTGTCTTCTTTCTTCGGGACGGAAACGCACAGCAAGGATTCAGCCACGCATCCTAAGCTGTTCTCAATCACAGATATTTGATCCTGAATTTAAAAAGGGAAAAACGTTTTTCTGACAACTTTCAAAATATTTCTTCAAAAAAAAAAGAAAGGAAAACAGTCTTCTACTTTACAATGAATACAGTTTTAGACATTTCTAGTAATTTTATGTCTTTCAAATCTTACAGTCGTTTGAGTGCGTCTGTAAGAATGATATATATATTCAGACTGAAAAAATTATATATATTCTGACATTCATAATGCTTTGAACATTCATAAAAAATTCCTTAGAAACTTATTATAGTAGCATGAATTTATGTGCTCTAAAATGTTTTAATATTGTATGAATAGTTATTACTTTGCAACTCAGAGCTCAAACATTCTTATAATGAAGCACATCTTCATAACTTTCTGTAGGTTGGAACCTTTCAAATATGTAATTAATCAAGCAATTGTATAATTTGAAAGTCATCTTTTACATTGCACTAAAAGAACTGTATGATGCCCGGGGCCTGAGTGATAGCACTTCACGCTCTCGTGCTACAGGTCCCGGGTTCGATCCTTGGCCCGGACAAGGTTAACTCAGCTTTTCATCCTTTCAGTGGGTCTATAAGATGAGTACTAAGTATGCTTGGGGACTTAACAGTTGAGAGTTCGACGTACGGTTGACCACCAAACCGGAACAACTACTCCCGCACCCCACAGCCCAAGGTCAAGAAAACTGAGATGGGCATCACCCTAAGCCTTGGACCTCTATATGCTATCGCGCCACTGAGTTTTAGTAGTAAAGGGACGGTATTATTCTAAATACTCAGTAAAACCTATGCATTTATCTAAATAGACGCCAAAAAGTTCTTTTTCATGCACTGAAGAAAAAAGTAGGGTCAAAACTTCCAGATAATGGAAAAATTTACTATGGCTATAAGGGAATTAAAAAAAAGCTCGGTAATTTTTATCGATGCGCTTTAGTAAAATTAATTGGATTTTGGAAAAATTAATAGAGGATTTTGGTTAAATTAATATTAAAATAGGGTTTTATAACGAAAGATAAAATTTGATAAATGCGATAAAATTTGGTCATTTTATCATAGAACTTATGGCGTAAAAACCATGGCCTATAAAATAATTTGCACTGTTAAAATTTTTTTTTAGTTTCGTATTTTTTATTAAACGTGTGCTAATAGGAACTATAATTTTTAAAACCAGAATTGTAAGTATAATGACTATAAAAATTTGGTCACAAACCTTCCACTAGACAATTTAAAAATCATTAAAATTTCAAAACTGTGAGAGAAAATTAATATTTTTCATATTTTTTTAGAATAAAAATATTTATTATTAGTCAGGATTTATGCAGTTACTTGCTTAAAGCTTTTGAGAATACTTCGCTTTTAAAGTTGAAAATATAAATAAGTAAAAAAATTACGGCTGAGGAAAAAAAATACACAACACACGAGTAAAAAATGCAACCTAGTCTTTTGTCTAGAAATAGAGATAAAAAAAAACTCTTCTTTCAGTATTTTAGAAAAGAGCCAATGGCATTCATTTAAACATTTCGATTTTTCCTTATTTGAGCACATAATTTGTGGATGAATTCTGAAAGCAAACGTTACCTGTTTTATATCATCTAAAGTTAAAGAGCGTTTTTCTTTTATTGCTGTCGTGAAACTATTGCTTTGTATCTGAAATAGAAAAAAAGGTTTTCTATTAGGGATATGTATTTTCTCAGTAAATTATTAAGAGATAGGAATTAATCTAAAAGATTTAAAAATATTTTTAGAGATAGTTTTTCGTCAATCTTTCTTGTGCACTATTATTTATGTTTCAGGAAGGTCACACAAATATCACAAATGAATTTTAGTTAGTTTCAATGAACCTGAGATCTTGTCAGCTATGTTTGGACCTGTTTGATACAAAATGACTCTAATAAAGACCTGTTTGATAGGACCTGTTTGATGCGAAATTACTCTAATAGAGACCTGTTTGATAGGAGACCTTTTTGAAGGACCTTTGTTTGATACAAAATTACTCTTTACTTCATTTCACCTCAAGTTGGCACTGGAGAGAAGGGCAGGTAGACCGGATTGCAGCCGTTCTCATGGAAACTGGGTTGCTCTAAGATAGTTGGGGGCATGAGGTAGCAAAAACAGTGAGAAAGTGGCTAATATTGGCGTTAAAGAAAACAAAGCGCCGATATATATATATGTNTGAGAACTAACAAGAATTACCTGGCACTGGAGAGAAGGGCAGGTAGACCGGATTGCAGCCGTTCTCTAAGATGCTCTAAGATGGTTGGGGGCATGAGGTAGCAAAAACAGTGAGAAAGTGGTTAATATTGGCGTTAAAGAAAACAAAGCGCCGATATTTATATATGTGACATTGTGTCACTTAACCATAATTTTCCAATAAAATTGCGACCTAAAAGTTAGGCCGACCCCTGACCCCTCTCCTCTGACGCCTTACTGTCTGGCGACCTTCACGGTGTTGACCTTCGGCAGCCTTTGATGTGAACGCATGTGAGATGGTCCGTTATGGTCACAGTTAGTGCATAAGTGTGAGTATATTTAAGCGGTTCATCAATTCACTTCGGTTCCCGTTTTAGCCACGATTCTGCGGCATTTTAGGTACTTTAACTTCATTCTTCAACCTTTTTATATAAATACTGCCCATTTTTGGAGCATGGAGCATTCGAATTAATGTACATCCAATATACTACGATCCCTTAACAGGAATTTTTCATTTTTTCTTTTTCACCCCCTCCTCTCTTTTGAGAGTTTTAGTTTTATCATGGCGTTCTTTCTCCGCCATTGCAACTATCTCAACAGGCTGCAAGAGTGATTTTTTTTGTGCTGAGGAATCTTTCAACAACTCAAGTTTGATCATGTCGTTTCTAATCAAGTTCTCTCAGATTTATGATTTTGGAATGAGCAAACTTCATTGCTCCTCGACTTAAATATGCAAAGTTCCTGTTTTTTTTTTAAGTTGGTCATTTTATATGACAACGCTCGTCATCCATCGCCCCAGCCTTTCTATTTCATTTTTACCAATTTGGGCCGTTTCCAGATCCTCTACCTGTCACCATCATGAAAAACTAGTGGATAACCATATGGGTACGGAATGCTGACCTGGATGTTTTTTGGAATGTTCATCTATGTTTTTCCTGTGTCTATGTTAAGAATGGAACTCTCTGATACGTAGCAAAAATAAAGAAAAATCTTTTAGTGAACTTCAAAGTGTTTTTTATGACTACTAAAGACTCTGTGCGAATTTGGATTTCTTTTTCCCTTTGGAAGTACCTCCATTTTATTGTGATTGTGCTCGCCCACGGGTATGTTTTCTTATCACTGTAATTTCATGTCACATTAAAAATGTAGTTTTTTTAATGACAAGGTTCCCATTGCGGCACTTCATGTCTGCCACTATAACGTAACATCATCAGTCATCATTAATTTTTTTAAAAAACCATATAGATTTGTTCGGCCATTATCTCTCTTAAATTTTTATTATCATTACTTTTTTTAATTTTTTATAACCGCACCAACCCAACATAACAATATATATATATATTTTTACCAAGAATCTTACTAAAATTTTGAGCACAATACAGAAAAGAACAATATTATTTTTTGAGAGTATTTCTAATAATTGATTTGAGATAATAATTATACACTGAATTCTTATTATAATTTTTAAAAAATAGATTTTCCTTATTGTGATTTTTAAGAAAAATATTTTTTTATTTATATTTTTTAACTAAACAAAACTAATTTTAAACAAAGCAAAATTATAATTAAAAAGATAATTTTTTTGTTAAATTGATGTAAAAAAAATACACAAATGCTCATAAATACTTTACTTCAGAAACTTATTTTTGTATGCACCCTTTTTTACGGAGTTATATTTTGTAATTTATCCCACATTGGTTTTTTGTGGGGGAAGGAAAAGTCAACATAGGCCTGAAATCATTGATCATGAAAAAGATCATGAGTATGTTTTATAATATTTACTATTTTTTTATATAAAGAAATTATGTTTTTTTCTGTAAACTTCTTTTTAATTATAAAAGTAATTTTTTTCAGAAATATATTTGTTTCCATGAAGCAAAAGAACTAACCTAAAAAGCCTTTCTTAAAGAAACCTCTCTATTAAAACCTCTTTATAAGAGAAGATTACCTTTTTCTTTTCTCGAAAGAAAATCCCAAGTCTTTGAAAATTCGATATAAAGCTTAATTAATACACTGGTGTGCAAAACATAAGCAACAAGTGCGTTTTTTGTCATAACTCTACTTTAAATAGTAAAAAATGCTTTTTAAACTTACAGGAAACGAAATTCTCTCTTCCAATATTTTGTCACTCATTACCTGCAAATAACAAAAAAAAATTAATAAGAAAATATTTTTTTTTATCCAATTATCTTCCTCCAATAAAAAAACCGAAACTTACAGTCCCTGGCCAAATTATTAGACGCACCATAAGATTCTCTGTAAACTCTTAATTGTCAGGTGATACTATACAGCTTTATTGTCTTGACGCGACTGAAACAGGTTTGCACTTGTTTACGCTCGCGTATCAATTGGTTAACATAGCAATGCAATACGTTAAAAATAAACACAAAAAGGAAGTCAATAAAAAATCTCCTGAGTAAAAACCCGTTACATGTATGTTTAAATATAAAAGTATTGCATACAAACTCGTTCAAAACATGCAATTATTAAGAAACTACAGTGCGTCTAATAATTTGACCTAATTATTATAATATACTAATACAAAAACAAAAAAAAAGTAGCCGTTTTTTTTTTTTACAAAAGAAAAGTAGCCGTAACAAGAATGATATAACTGGTTAATACAGGAAAACAACGTATGCTGTTCATAAAAATATCGTTGTTTAGGTAAGTTTTCTGATCTAGTGAAATAGTATGAAGGATGATCCGTATTTTTCACACGACAGAAGTCTCTCAAGATTTACAAAACAACAACCACTCATTCTTTAATTCCAGACCCCTTCCCGATGGCAGTGGATTGTCCCATACTAAAAACCATTGCCTAGTATTCCCTACACTGACATTTTTCTAACATGAATTGTGCTTGGAAATTCGTTAAAAAAATTAACTGACTGTACAAACTTAATTGAAATCATCAATTTTTCAATAAAAGTTATTAGGAGAGAGTGGAATAAGACAGCCCAAGTCAAAATGTTTGATGGTTTTCCACTGATGGATCAAATCAATAATTCCCTCATGAACCATTATATTTTTGATGGTAACCAGCATAAGTAACCATCTCCCCAAAGTAGGAAGTCGGACTGATTTTTGATGGTCCAATCTAAAAAAAGCAAATTGTTTTGATGGTATATTCCTGCTGAACAAACAATAGTTATTATTAAACCATCATAGAAATACATTATTGTACCATCATTGATCATCACGAATTTCCATCATAGTATCTCAGAAATCAAATGTTGGAACAATCATGAACAACCATCATCCCAATGTAGGAATTCGGACTGATTTATGATGGTCCAACAAAACGAAAAATTGTTTCGAGGGTATATTCCTGAGAACCAACAGGAATTCCCATAAAACCATCATGGAAGTGTATAGTTGGAACCATCATGGATTGTTGGTCTATGACATGGGTCGCCAAACTTGTTTCATCATCAACTCCTATATAATTTTTCGAAATCTCCATGGACCCCCATAAAAGTAACTTTCCGTTAATTAAGATAAAACTCTATTAGATACTGTGTTTGTACATTTATTTCATGACTTAAACATTTATTAAAGTAATAGCACATTGTGTAACAATAGTTTTATGAAAAATATATTAATGTTGAAATTTAAATACCTTAATATTTATTAAATNAGCATTATCTTATATTTCAAATTTCAATTATATTCTCAAATTTTAAAAACTCTGTTTTTAAATTATTTGGATTAAAAAGTAAATTAGTACTTTTCAAAATAGATTTTGCGCTACCTTTTTCAAAGGCTGAAATAGCGATTTCTCTTTAGAAATTTAAAATACTTCACAATATAATTTTATATCATAATAGGAAGAATTCTTATATATTAAACCTTTCCTTCATTGTACTTAATTCATGTAATATTCATGTCCTCAGAGCCTAGAAGCTAAATTACTAGCTATAGAAACCATTCTCATTTATTGCACTTAGCATAATGAAAATTATTAGTAACTGCAATTGCGCGTGTTTATGCTAGTAAACTTTCCTTTATAATATGCAAGAAATTATTTATAATCCTGCCGCAGATGGTGTTCAATCAATTATTAAAATGAGCTTCATTTTAGTTTCTAACGATACGATTTAGATGAGGAATATTAAAGTTCTCACTTAAAGCAGACAGAATTATTTGATTTGTTTGAATATAATTACATGTATTATGTTGGATGATACAATAAGTAACTCACATTTCAGAGACTTGACATTCTAATTATTGTTCATTTTCCTTTTCTGATTTAATTTCACAAGATAATAATAAAAGTATTCTTTATGATAATTGTTTGTAAGACTAAAGTCACGAAACAACGAAATTGAGGTTTTTGAACTAATAACATACAATAATATTATATTAATAATCGAATTGGCATATACACTGATAATAAATACGAAGCCTCTGATCGTAAATTCAACATTTGAGAGTTTAAAAAAGGAACATTGCTTTCGAAAAAAAGTGAGAAAAAGGATAATTTCCATGAGAAGTTTTAGAAATTCATAAATGTCTGATATCAGATCAATATAACGAAATTTATATTTATAATTGGTGCTCACGAGCGACTAAATTTTTTCAAAATAAATACAAAGAATAATAAATCATTTAGTTATCCACTCTTTGTCATTTTAGAAAAAAGGGATGTTTTTTAAAATGGCTAAAGTAGATTAAAAAAGGTGGAAAAAACTTGTAACAATTTTAAAATAATGTTTTATTTGAGAAAAAATAGCACGGTATAAAGCAAACGATAAAAAATATCAACATGATAAGGGGTTTTCCTCAAATATTATTTTTTTCCAATAAACAAGATTGATTACAAATATATAACAATGGTCCGGATAATAAAGTGTGATTGCATCAGGAAATAAAACACGTGGAAGAAAATTTAAGAAAAGAATTCAAAATTTTAAAAGCATTTCAAATATTACTTCCAATGCGGAAGAGAATATACTTTTATGGGGATGATCCCCAACAATGCCGGCGTCATTTTTTTAAAAAAAAATCATGGTTAATAATACAAAATGATATTTGTGGAAAAACCCTTATAATTTTGAGCTTTCTTTTAAAAAGTGAGAAAATTGCTTGAAACTTTTTAAAATTTTAAAATATTCAAATCGGACTCTTTGTATTATACTTCGTTTCACCTCAAGTTGACACTGGAGAGAAAGGCAGATAGACCGCATTGCAACCGTTTTCATGGAAACTGAGTTGCTCTAAGATAGCTGGGTGCATGAGGAAGCAAAAACAGAGAGAAAGTGGCCAATATTAGCGTTAAAGAAAACAAAGCGCCGATATTTTTTTTTACCAAGAATCTTACTAAAATTTTGAGCAAAATACAGAAAAGAACAAGATTATTTTTTTAGAGTATTTCTAATAATAATTTATTTGAGATAATAATTATACACTGATTTCTTATTATAATTTTTAAAAAATAGCTTTTCCTTATTGTGATTTTTAAGAAAAATATTTTTTCATTTATATTTTTTAACTAAGCAAAACTAATTTTAAACAAAACAAAATTATATTTAAAAAGAAAATTTCTTGTTAAATTGAAGTAAAAAAAAATACAAAGATGCTCATAAATACTTTAATTCAGAAACTTATTTTTGTATGCACCCTTTTTTACGGAGTTATATTTTGTAATTTATCCCACATTGGTTTTTTGTGGGGGAAGGAAAAGTCAACATAGGCCTGAAATCATTGATCATGAAAAAGATCATGCGTATGTTTTATAATATTTACTGTTTTTTTTTATATAAAGAAATCATGTTTTTTTCTGTAAAGTTCTTTTTTATTATAAAAGTAATTTTTTTCAGAAATATATTTGTTTCCATGAAACAAAAGAACTATTAAAACCTCTTTATAAGAGAAAATTACCTTTTTCTTTTCTCGAGAGAAAATCATAAGTCTTTGAAAATTCGATATAAAGCTTAATTAATAGCTGCAAAAACAAACTAACAAAAAAACTAACATTTAATAATTAGAAAAAAAAGCAAAAAAATAAAGAAACAAGGAATTACAAAAAAATTAAAAATTAATACAAGAAAATAAAATTAATAACCATTAAAAAACAAGCTGAAAATAAATAAATATTAAAAAAAAATGTAAGCAACACGAGTCTAAGTAATTGAAATAAAGCGCAAAGGCAAGGAGACTCAAAGGAGCTGGCTGATCAGTGCAAAATAAAAGCCAACGCGCCAATCCCTCGTCCTCGGAAACTAGTTCATCGCCAAATTAAAACCTCCTTCTTTGTACATTCGCCCTCTTGAGAAGGTATTTATAAGTTAAATATATTTAAGCGTGATAAAACTTCTAAAACATGTTTCAAAGTAAGGTGAAACGAAGTATAATAGAGACCTGATTGATAGGAAACCTGTTTGAAGGACCTGTTTGATACAAAGCTACTCTAATAGAGACCTGTTTGATCGGAGACCTTTTTGAAGGACCTGTTTGATGCAAAATTACTCTAATCGAGACCTGCTTGATAGACCTTTTTGAAGGACCTGTTTGATGCGAAATTACTCTAATAGGGACCTGATTGATAGGAAACCTGTTTGAAGGACCTTTTTGATACAAAATTAATCGAGACCTGTTTAATAGGAGACCTGCATGATGTAAAGTTACTCTAATACAGACCTGTTTGATAGACTTCTTTGAAGGACCTCTTTGATACAATTCTGCAATCTCCTTCATCGAATCGATTTTTAAAAGTACTCTTATAAACTATTATGAAATGCATGTATGTTTTTAATTGTGTAATAAAGGCATTTAAGTTCTCATGAGATTTACATAAATCTGTCAGCTGTATTAAATAACTTTATAATACTTAACTTCTATTCACTTCGGATTTGTTGAGCCTAATGCAAATTCATCTTAATTTTTTTCTGTGCTGTGCGCGTCTTTGATATACTAACCCATTTTATTTTAAGAAGTAGTGTATATGTGCACCCTAAATCAATGATTCTTACTTTATATCGTATCGTAAAAATAACTTTACTGATTCTTATGTGCGTCGCGTCTTACAGTAACTATAAATTTTGATGCTACCGAATGGCAATAAGGTTTGCGTCTCTATTTTACATCAAATAGTGCAAAAGAAAGTACTTCACTACACCAAGAACTTTCCTTGTGTAGTGGAACACCATATTGATAGTTGTCTGCGAAATTCACTTTACAGTGTTTAGAACTAAAAAAGAATACACTTCAACGACGATCTTAGAGATTCAAAAACACCATTCATGCCCTCCAATATAATTTTTTTTCCTATTGCGTTTTTGTTGTCCACCCATCTCCTTTTTATATAAAGAACAATTGTCTATTAAGCAACTCTACTTTTGAATAGAAAGAAAATGCGTTTTAAACTTACAGGAAACGAAATTCTCTCTTCCAATATTTTGTCACTCATTACCTGCAAATAACAACAAAATTATAAGAAAGTAATTTTTTTTATAAGATATCTAATCTTTTTCCAATAAAGAAACTAAAACTTGGGTACATTTTTATAACTTTCTCTTCCTTTTTTACAAAAGAAAAGTAGCCGTAACAAGAATGATATAACTGGTAAATACAGGAAAACAACACTATGCTGTTCATAAAAATATCGTTGTTTAGGTAAGTTTTCGGATGTAATGAAATAGAATGAAGAGTGCTCATTCCTTAATCACTTTTCTTTAATTCCAACCTTCCCAATGGCAGTGGATTGTCCCATACTAAAACCCCTTGCCCGGTATTCCCTACACTGACATTTTTCTAATATAAATTGCATGTGGAAATTCGTAGAAAAAATTCACTGGTAGTAATAACTCAATTGAAATCATCAATAAAAGTTATTAGGGGAGAGTGGAATAAGACCGGGTATTGGAATGAGATTGCCCAAATCAAAATTTTTGATGGTTTTCCATTGATGGACTAACATAATCTTCATGGTAACCATCAATAATTCCATCATGAACCATCATATTTTTGATGGTAACCAGCATAAGTAACCATCACCCCAAAGTAGGAATTCGAACTGATTTTTAATTGGCCAACATAAAAAACAAAAAAACAAATTGTTTTAATGGTATATTCCTGCTGAACCAACAATAATTATTATTGAACCATCATAGAAATGTATTGCTGTATCATTATGGATCTTCTCGAGTTTCCATCTTAGAAATCAAATGTTGGAACGAAGATGAACAACCATCATCTCAATGTAGAAATTTGGACTGATTTACGATGGTTCGACATAAAAAATAAACAAAACAAATTGTTTTGATGATATATTCCTGAGAACTAACAAGAATTACCTTTAAACCATCATGGAAATGTATAGTTAGAGCCATCATAGACTATCGCGGATTGCTGGTCCATGCGAAACAAACTTGTCTAGAGGGTTAACCATCATAGTATTAAAGTAGCATTTTGTATCATGAAATGATGGCATATTAAAAGCCAAGCACAAAATGGACAATGTTGGATGATGATGACCATCAAAAGATGTTGGACCATCACGAATCGCATTGAAACCAACATAAAACATCACAATGTTTTGATGGGGGCCGGGATAGCCTGGTCGGTAGGGCGCTGGGCCCATATCCAAGAGGTCGTGGGTTCGATCCTCGCCGGCCGAAGACTCCCCGTGTAGTAAATGGTGACTGATGCACGTTAAATCTGTCGAGTCTCAAAGTCCTCCATGTTCCCACAACAAATCAA